TCTGCTTGGAACAACAATGTGTGTTTTTTTTTAAAAATGCATCCCTTTCTTCTACCTCATTACATTTCTAAATTTTACCCCTTAAAATCTTTAATTTCAATGAACACAGAGAAACTTTCACTTTCAACAGATTCATGTGAAAACACACTTTTAGTGTCAAACTGCACATACACAATGCTGCACAATGAAGCTTAAGCATTCAACTTTAGGAATATGAAGAAAACTATCTTCTTCTAGGGGAACTTTAAAGGTACCCTGTGGAGTTTTCTTGTAAATAAACAAAAGTTATGTTTACATTCAGTATTACTCACCAAAATACATTGTGTGTGTTTGTGTATTCTTGAACTCTAATAAACATGTAGAACACATCTCCTTCCTCATGAAACATTTGAAAAGACAAAGGTGCGGGTACACCATTTATTTTCCAAACAAGGTTTCACTCTGTGTTTGTGTGTGTTACGTCACCAGTGAGTGAAGGAAAAGGCGAGGCAAGGTGGGCAGCTCATCTAACATGCACAAGTGATGCAAGCCCAGGTAAACATTTACTCTTGTGTAGGTGTGTGTGTGTGTGTGTGTGTGTGTGTTTGTGTGTGAGAAGGTGATCTCCATAGCAGAAATACCTATTTAAACATGCCAAAAACATTCATAAACACCCGTGCATTCATCCATTTGACAAAATAAGTTAATATGGGTGTGGTGAGCTTTGATAGTTTCGGTGGCACTGAGGTGGGCCCGTGAGCTTTTGTGGGTGACCATGGAAACAGAGTAAACACACAGGCAGATGGTTGGTCAGTGATAATTCACTTGGAGCTCAAATAAAGGACATGCTGGAATTTCCTGGGTGTGGTAGCCTAACGATTCTTTCCTTTACCTTTACAAGGGAGCGGGTCAGTTGCCAAGGGAAGTATTTTTTTCTGTTTCGGCAAAGTGACACATCTTGACAAGCATATAGTTTTTAGTCATCCATCAACTATTGGCCTACTGGATGGATTGCTGTGACATATTCTACAGACATTCATGATTCACAGAGGACGAATCCTATGGACCCCTGATCTTTCCCCCAGCACCACCGGGATGTTCACATTTGGGAATTTGAATTAAATACATCAACAACTATTGGATGGATTCCCATCATGTTCTCCTTAGGATGGACCGTAATAACCTTTCCTCTGCCTCATTAATTCAAAATTTCAATTTGTAGTTTATTGCCAAATACTATTGAGGAAATTTTAGCATGCTAACACACTACAATAAGATGTGTTAGCATTTAGCACAAAGCACCACTGTGCTGAAGTACAACCTCACTGAGCGTGGTTGTAGAGTCTCAGTTCTGCGTTTCTATTTATTATTTAATATTGTAAGTTGAAATAAGCAACATTGTTTGACAAGAAATTAAACTATATAGTCCCATTTACTCCTAATATAAACTTTAACCCCACCTTTTTTAGTGATTAAGGAATGTAAGTTGCTTTACTGATTACTTTATTTTCTCTAAGAAGAGATAATATTGTGTAGTGCAATGTAGTACCTGGGGGGCGGGATCCCCACAAAGGGTCAGAAGATAAACTTGAAAGCTCGCAAATGATCAAGTGGATATGAAAGCATAAATTTCTGCTTCACAAACTTATGTTTAAACCTCAGACTTTCTTCAAATCTTTGCTTTTTTTAAACGTGTGAATAAATCGACCATTTTACATCTTAACAAATCGAATAATTATTCAAAATAAAACAAAGGAAAATAATCACCAGTGATAATAAATGTGGGGTTGCAATAAACATTTCTTTGTCTCGGTTTGGACCAAATTCAGTTTGCAGTTTGATAGGTATCTTTTTCACCTGCCTAAACAAACCTACGGAGCAAACACAGGTGTTCAAACACATGTGTGCCTTAATTATGTTGAGCCAATTCCCCCAAATGTATCTCTGCAGGTTATTTGCTTCACCCACACCTTAACATTTTCTCTAGGAGGTGGTGGTACAGCATCATGCAGACCAGTGTTTCCCAACCTGGCGTCTCGAAATATACCTCAAGCGTCATAAGATGATAAGGAAGTGGTCAATAGTCAAAAGGATGTGATGATGTGAGCTACAGTAAAATAAACATTTATTTCCTTTTGTTTTATTCTTATCTTATCCTTATATTGTCTTTCCTGTTTCCTGATTAAGTCATTGCTGTTCTACATGACAGTGAGCTCAATGAGACAAACTATTTTGCATTGATTCCCCTTTAACCTATGTAAATACTCTCAAAAAGACTTGTGAGTTGGGTGAAGGATATAAATAAATAAATAAATTTTTTTCTGGAGGTCAGAGAAGTACTGATACAACCTGTATGTGTGTTTCTCTCCATGATGCATGGATGCTCATCATAAACATCTGTACAGTCTCAAGCTAAAGTAAATATTAGTTTCTTCAATTATGGAACCTGAGTGAAGGATTTCGTCCACACTATGTTTCTGTACTAGTCTTACTGTATGTTTGATGTTACATGTTATGTGTATCATTTTCACTGAATTATTGGACCCCAGGAAGAGCAGGTATTCATGCTGCAGTAATATCCAATGTGGATCAAAACATTAAACATAGTATTTTTCTATTTATGTCTTATTAACAGAACTTTTTTATTAAAGCCATTTTAGACTTACTTTTAGCTGAAGGGAATCTCCTTCCTGTAAATTTCTGCACCACTTATTACAGCAGAGAGCACCATCTAGTGATGTAGTATGAAAACTGAGTACCACATTACATAAAGTCCCAGGTCATAAAGACTGGGTGTATACAGTAGATGTAATTAATAGGCTAAGTTGACTTCCGTGCAACACAATAAACCCACAAGAATTTACAGCTCACAAAAATGAACAGTATTTAAGATAACGGAGACAAAGAAACTGATGAATAATCCGTCCAAGGGTCAAAGCAAACATTTCGTTTTACTGGAAGTGGGCATGTTTGATGTGATTCACTGTTCTAGTCTCCTTCAAGTTATGAATAAAGGCACATATGCAGCATTGCAACATTTTTGCACGTTTCCTGTATGGGGTCTCCAGATAGGCCGTGTGAATTTATCTTTTGTGCTGTGGTCTCAGTAAGTCTCAGTAGGCTACATGATTTGTTTCTCTTTGTGGTTCAGAACTTGGTGTTCTCTGTGTTGATATTACTGTCACAGGCTCACCCAGGAAGCATTTTAACATCATCACCAGATGACTTATTGAGGAGGAAGAAAGGAAACACGACAAAATGATGCAACATCAAAGCTTTTTAATTTGAACACTGATCTCACACAACCTGAAACCAGAGATCGGGAACACAAATCTGTGAGGAGCTACTGTTATGAGAATGCACTGGGAGAGACATAGTACAAACAGAAAGAAAGAAATATTTATGCCTTCAAGGCAGTAGAAAATGTCATTGGTTTGGGCCCTCAATGTCAATTTGAACAGTTGATTCTGGATGTGGTAAATCTGTATGGTTGGCGGGGTGAATAATGTCTCTTTGGTGTTTTGCTTTTATCTGAAAAGTGATAGCTGATGGGAACTTTTTTTAAGCTGTACACCAGCTTAAAAAAAGATCCCGTTTACTGCAGTAGACGAAACAACCAGGAGTACTCGTAGCCATGGGAGTACTTACTCAGCAGGTAAGTAAAAACAGAAAATATGATTTGATTTCAAAAATACATTCACATATTTGCAGATGGAATAAAAGCACAAAAACTGAGTTGCTAGTTTTGCTCCTTGGCTTAATACTTAATGCTCGGTTGATACTGTAGTTAATAAGATAGATAGCCCCAACAAATGACTGCAGCGTAAATTAGAGCAGGTCAACATGAAATCCATTTCGTATACTTTCGCCCTCCAAACAATACAGTATATTTAATTAGGATGAAATAAATGTGAAGCATAAAAAAAGTACTTAGATAGATGTGGTTAAAAAAAGGTTAGGGATTCATAGTAATTAACAGGGAGAGCTCATTATATTTCACTTCTTCATAGTCTTTTTAATCCAGAGGAGTTGTTTTTCTGAGAGAAAAGAGTACACACCAGGCTTTTTACTCAAACCACATTTCTTTCCAAATGAAGTGACTCCGACCAGCGCTCCATTGCACAACAGCGGCCCTCCTGAATCCCCCTAGAGTGAGAATAAATACATGACATGATTTTTGGGCGCATAAATAGCAGTGTAGGTGGTGATAGGTGATAACAGGCTGTTTACTGCCTGCATAAAGTGCACTTACCTGACAGGTGTCTGCACTGTTATTATCGTTGGAACCAGCGCATATCATGCTGCTGGTAATAACAGGCTTCAGGCCGTAATATTCAGGGGAGTTGCACTTCATTCTGTCGACCACAGTCACATTGACAGACATCAGGACATCTGACATTTTCTTTGCATTGTTTTTTGTTGTCCCCCATCCAGCCACCAGACAGTTGGTGCTAGCTGCTGGTTCTTTGACGGTGTTTCCCAATTTGAGCCATTTCACCGCCTTGGTTTGTTTCACCGGTTTGTCAAGCTGAAATTTAGGGGAAAAAAATAATTATTTTTTATGCTGATGAAAATGTGAACGTTCTTATCTAGTGTCTGTCTTGGGCAATGATTCTACCAGTAAAATCTCAGTAGTATCAAATTATCTGTATAAGAAAGGGGGCTATGGAGGTTTTAATTTGTGTGGTAATGCACTTATTTGACTAAATCTCAAAGCAAAGTTAAAAATCAGCTAAATATACACACTCGAGACAAAGCCTTGCATTGTCTCGAGCATTGTGGGCCTTAGAAGAGAGATATGCCTGACTTTGGATCGGTAAATATTTCATTTGGATTCAATTTGGTTTGCAGTTTGCATGGCATCTTTATCTCCCGCCTAAAAAAAAGCAAATATTGAGTTCAAACAAATAGCTACAAAAATATTTCTAGAACCACTTTCTGCTGCATCTTTGCTTCATTTAGGTTGTAATTCACTACTTTTATGGCACCTTACCTTGAGCAACATGAGGTCGTTGACGTTATCAGTTGCATCATAGCAGGGATGAGGAAAGGTCTTCACTTTTTTGACCTGTCTGGTTTCTTTTTCCGTTTTACTGATGGAGTGCACCCCCAGTACCACCTTCTTTATGCTGCAAGAGCAGGAAACACCGTGTTTAACAAAGTTCACTAAAGGTCAACATGCCAGGAGTGCACAAATTAATAAAACTAGTACTTTATACAGTTGCTCTTTTATATTTGAGCATTATCACATATGATTTATAGCCTATAATATCGTCAGAATATGGCTTTTATTGCGACTTAGAGAAACATGTACAGCTTTTTTCCCCTAGTGTCAATACATATTGAGACTTCAGTGGTAGTTGACAAATGCTGAATGGAGAGTTTGCCACCTAACAGGGCTGATATGACTGTGTGGTAGTTGTTTGACTCTCATGGGTGTGGACTGAAACCTGTAATGTTTATCTTCACTGAGTTAAATCTATTCAGGAAGGATTTGCCATGTATCAATCTGCTTTCGTATCCAGTATTAGGGGAATCTGTCCCTGACAGCTCTGCAGTCTCTGACCTGAAGTACATTTTCTCTTCGATGTCTGCCTCCTTAAATTTCTTCTTTGTGGCGTGTGCAACAAACAAGGGTTGGCTAATTCAAATACTGTGTCTGTAAAAACAGCAACGGGACCACAGTGCAGACATGGACTGGTTTAGAAAGTCACATACAGTACACCAGTGCTCATACTTTCTTTTTCTTGTTTTAGCATTGAACTAAAATGTGCATACTGTAGTTGATCTTGACTGACATAACATTATCTAAATCATGAAGTGCATTTCTCTTTTCTTGGACTTTTTCTCATTCGATTCTTTTGTGCAAATGGAAAATGCAAGTTAAAGATTGCTCAAGAGGATATCTTGTCTCAAGCCCTGTAACTTTTGTGGTTTCTTGAAGTGAGTGATGACAACCACCTGTTTTTTCTTCTCTGTCAAAAGTCTGTCCATCATATGCTTTAAATGTCATTCTGTCTGAATAAATGTCACTAGCAGTGGAGCACTGTTTTTCCTTTACTAATCCAAATCTATAGATGCATCCCTCTACAATACCCCAATGCCCCCCAAGGAGCTGCTGTATAGTATATGTCAGTTGCTGACCTCAAAACATAAATAAATCTGTTCAAAAGTCAAAGTAGTCTCAGCAATGTATCTCTTATGTGACTGTGTCCCTGATTAGGTTAGTGAGAACTAAGATTTTTACCTAAAAGAGCAAATATTAAACTCAAAATGATATCAGAGCAGAGTATGTGGACTTGTAAGATTGTAAGATTTTAAATAACCAGTACACAATATCTTTCATGTCATCAGTAGAAAATGAATATTAGTTTTAGTGTATATTTTGAGATCTGACCATTTTAGGAATGTGTGTTGGCCTATCTTGTTCTTACCCAGCACAGTGAGCAGCAGTCAGTACCCATTTTGGATCGATCAGTATCCCTCCACAGGCTGGTGCTTTATTGTCCGACAGCAGAGCCATGAAAGGCAGTGAGTGGGGCTCCACTTCCCTCCCACCAATAATCTCAGCGCCATGACCTAAAACAGAACACACTCAGTTCATTAATTTAACAACAAATTAGATAATTTTTTGTAATTAGCAATTGATTGGTCAGCCAGTCAATTACTAATTACAGCACAGATGTGGTATCACTCTGCAGTGGCTGTGCTGCAATATTTCAATAGATCATTACTTTGCATTCTGCATATTTACATAAAATTATTGTAGAAATACTCACTTGACTGGACAATGAGGAGGACCACACAATAGATAGAAACGACGGAATCCCTCAGGCAGAACATTTCTTCTTATTTCTGTCTTTGATGTGATGGTGAATGCACTGAAACCCACCTCGATGCACACTGTTGCCTTTATGTGTTAAGCTCAAAGGATGTGGTTTGACCATGGAAATGCGTGAGTCAGCAAAATGGACGCAAGCATGACATGAGAATTGGTGCGCTAACGCTATATAGGACCCTGTGGTAACAGTTTTTCGCATTTACCAGCAATCATTACCATTTTATTCACAGGCTGTGGGGTGGAGGCTTTTTTTACGTGAAGCTGCTCACATCAGCAGGGGCAAATATTAGTATAGGTAGTCAGCCTTCCTAGCTACACTTATGAGTGTTTCTCATAACGTCATGTCATGAATCAGTGAAAAACCTAAGAAAGTGAAACTATTGGCTGATATGCATGACATCAGGCTGGTGGAGGTGAATGATCAAGAAATGAAAAGGGTTCAATAAAGGAAGGGTTAACTGCTGGAAAATTGTTATGTTACCTTAAAGCAATAATTCAGCATTCTGGGAATTACTTTCCTTTCTAGTTGACAGATGATAAAATTACCACTCTCACATCTGTCCATTAAATACTGTTTCAGGCTAAAGCCTACAGCTGGTTAGCTTAGCTTAGCACAAACACTAGAAACAGCTAGCCTGGCTCTGTCCAAAGGTAACAATATCTACCAGCAACTCTAAAGCTCCCTAATTAACACATTGCATGCATATATAAAAGGACAAAAAACAAACAAACAATTCAATTCAGTTTCAATTGAGTTTTATTGGTATAGAACCAATTCATGACAAAAGTTATCTCAGGACACTTTTCAAATAGAGCAGCTCTGGATTGTACTCCTTATAAAATTAATTAAAATAAATAACAACAACGTAAGTGCGAAATATAAATAATGTTAAATACTTTTGGATAAGCTGGGGCTTAATGATAGATTAATACTACCAGACCTATCTGCCATATATAGTTTCATTGAAATTATGTTTTAGTCAAGCTTTAGCTAACTCTGGGCCTTTTCACATTTGCTGTCTGTGTTCCCTTTGACATGAACTAACTAATCCTTGTGTGAGGTTCATATATGTAAAAATAAATAAAGTCTAAAAAAAGTTGTAGTAGTTAATACTGTGTCATTTATTGGCTGGTGCAAACTCTGCCACCTCCAGTTCAATGATCAAACTACATTTAGAGAACATGTTTCTAGCTACCTTTTTTGAATATACAGTACATCTTAATTTTAAGCCTCACATAAGGAACACAGCTTGTAGTAAACCTTCTATGTCAATGCTACATTCATCCATAATAATGATAATGAGTGACAAAATGTCACTAGCATCAGTTCAGAAATGAGAGAAGAAGAAACTGAAGCAGGTTGACTGCAAGATTGGTGGGGAAATGGATGGATAAAATTATAAAATATGACACAAAAATGTCCACAAATTTCCAATGACTGCTTGAAAAAACATGGCGGCCATCATAGCCTGTGTAACAAAAAAACAAAATATATTGAGAAAATCATCATCATGTTGAGTTAATTCTCTTACTTGAAGGTGTTTCAAAGTAATCCACCAGCAAGAAAGCACCCAAAAAAATCCAAATTTTGATTTACTAACTTTCAGCGGCATCATTGAGCAACAAATTAGCCCTCAAACGCTGAAAAGCTTTTACTGTGAAGCAGCTGCCAGAAGTGACATTGGTTTCTTGCTCCTAAAAAGCAAGGCGAACCAACAAGCCTCTAGTCTTGAGAAACTTGGATATTAAAAGTAAAACAAAATTCACAGCAACTTGTAACGGACTTTGCTAGAAAATTACTAAAAGATGAAAACAACAACTCCTCCTGTCGTGTGCCCATGTCTTTGACACACTTAAGTTGATGACGTGACACCATCATGCTTTGGCTCTGCTTATAGCATGCAGTAAAGGTCAGCTCTGGAGACATCAGCAGGGTTAAAGCATATTATGCTGTGCCAGTGGATATAGTGGGATGGGTTATGCAAAATGGAGGAGAGAGGTAGCAGTGGAGCAAATGATCTACAAGGACATATGGGTCAATCGTAAGTTCTCATCACATCACAGTTGACCATTTTGTCAGTTTCTCAAACACTTCTTTTCAATAAACTGACTGATCATTTGTGTTTTTTTTTAAATCATCCCCATTTTGTCTGTTTAGGAACTCGTCTCTTACTATTTTCCATATATTCAACTTGTTCAGGATATTTCATGTTTACATCGTGAACAAATGCCATCATGCTCCAGGTCATTTGGACCCCAGTCTAAGCGATTTTTCTGAATCTGAATCTTAACCGAACCCTCTGTTTTTCTGTGGGATCAGGTAAACAATTGTGTCCTCAGTTGGGAGCTCCACTGATGACTGAGAGATATCATGATCTGACTCCTTAACTTCATCTGGAGAAGGAAAACAAATGACACATGAGCACACGTGAAGGATAAATATTTGACATCCTAGAATGTTTTGAGGTGTGTTTTAGTATATTAATTTTTCTTACCCAAGGACAGAGACTTGCATTTTCTCAGGATATGGTAAATAATCCACAGTGAAGGAACCAAAGGCATAAACTTAAGCGACTTCAAGATTATAATGATGACTTTGTACTGAGCACCAGAGTCCACTAAGGAAGAGAAAGGACAAATATGCATCACACACAAATACAAGACCATTAATTTTTTAAATCACACAAGTTCCAAGGTAGAGCTGCTTGCAACTAATGGTCTTTGTCTTTACCAATTTATCCATTTATTATTTTATGAATCTATTGTGACAATTTTTTTTATTTTTTGACAAAATACATAAAACAATAAATTGATTATTTGAATTGTTGTTGTTGTTGTTGATATGATATTGCATACATCTTAATGTATGAAACCCAATGCATGACAAAGCAGACTGCTCCCACACAAAATTAACACCATGTAAATTACATTTAAATCCTTCCTACCTGTTTTGACTTTGAAAGCTGTAGAGTTACTTTTAAGGGTCATGTTTCCACCAGTAACACTGTCAGGTCGAACAACAAAAGTGGAAATCTCTATAAAGTACTCTGTTGCTGAAGTTAAGTCGGAGATGCTGATGTTCATGAAGGCAGAGCCATCAGGGTAGGGGTAGAAGAGTGTATCACATGTGTTGGTGCATGTCGTCACATTGTAGCTGTGTGGTGTCATCTGCATAAATGCAGAGACGTTCCAGCTAAGAGCCACATGATCAGAGCCCACTGAGTCCACTGTCACTGGCTGAGGAGCAACTGGACCTGTGAGTGAATTTGACAATGAAGAAGTTAGAGAAACGTTTTAGGTCACCCACCACCTTTGCCACTGGCCCACGTGGTTGGGGTTAGGTCCGACGTTAGGTTGCTGTTGTCAGGCATCTCAGATATAACTGGTTGAGGTTAGGGTATGGCTGGTTGAAGATTTAGTATTGCCAGTGTAGTATAAAATTTTATGTAT